GGTTTTTACATGCACATCGTTGGCGTTCTAGCATCTTCATCATCATCATCATCATCAGTAGCATCGCTAGCATCATCATCGTCATCCAAAAGTGTAATTATTAGTAAAACAAAGTAGTTTTTGACAACGTACCCAAACTACGATTTTCACAAAACCCTGTAAAAACCGATACTTTTGACCCTCGAACACCTCCAAACTACCAGGCGCCAGGAGGCGCGCAAGCCTAGTACCCATAGTAGTAGTAGTAGTAGTAGTAGTAGTAGTAGTAGTAGTAGTAGTAGTAGTAGTAGAGGTAGTAGTAGTAGTAGTGGTAGTGGTAGTGGCAGTGGCAGTGGCAGTGGTGGTAGTAGTAGTAGTAGTAGTAGTAGTAGTAGTAGTAGTAGTAGTAGTAGTAGTAGTAGTAGTAGTAGTATAGTAACAGTAGTAGTTCAAGGAGTACTGTTAGGTCAGGTGTAGTAGTAGTGGTGGTGGTGGTGGTGGTGGTGGCGGTGGTGGTAGTGGTGGTGGTGGTGGTGGTGGTGGTGGTGGTGGTGGTGGTCGTGGTCGTGGTAGGGGTGAGGGGTAGGGCAAGGGGCAGGGGAAGTGGTAGGAAGCAGTCGTGCGAGGAGGAGGAGGAGTAGTAGCACAAGTACATTGCAGCGACGGATAGCAATTACAAATACACTCTTCAATAGTAAAGCAGGCACTTGGTTTTTGAAAAGCTCAGAACGAGAGGAAGCTATAATTGTGCACGTTTCCGAGTAAGTGTTTGAGCTAGCGCGGCTGAAGGGTGAGATGTTTAGTGTCGTGGCCTGCACCTGCTGTTCTGCAACGCGTTTATCACAACAGTATCATTATGATCGACTTTGCTACATCATAATCATGAGAAAAGTGGCGAAAATGTCCGTCGACACTTCCGCGACACTTACAGGAGCGCTGAGAAGCCAGCAATGCCGTCTGTCACCCCCCGGAGGTCCAACCACAGCTCGTGCCTGGTATCTGAGCGTGCTTTGCAGGAGCAGCAGCACTTGAAGTACGGTCAGGATGCGAAAAGGAGTGGGTACCAAGCAATAGTACGTACTTTGTTGATACATGAGCAAGTTATAGACAATGGACACTATCTACGTACGTGCACACAAACACACACACACACACACACACACACACTCCCTGGTGTTTCGTGAAGGCGAGTCGTAATTAATAGCAGTGATACCACTGGCTGATGCTCCATGTGTCGGCCACTGAATAGAAAACCCCTTATCCTTTCAGTGAAGGGGCCTAGTGTGCGGATGAATACTCAAGATTCGACGTTACAGAGGCTTTTGTTACCATTAGTTTCCTCGATGCGTCGATGCGTGTTTCCGTCTGCCTACAATGCGGCTGACCCACAAGTCTTACACTTGACCAGATGGTTTTGGCGATTTGAGTCCCAGAGACTATAGTTCGGAAAAGTTCGACACGTCGCGTCAATAGCCAATCGGGCCCTAGAACTCTGAAGTCCCAAACCCAGTTAGTAAGCCCAGGACCCTGCAACACTCAACCATTAGACATCTTCCCAGAGAGCTCAACACCCCTTAAAAAAGGAATATGGCTTAAATTATTAGGGGCTTCATATTATGGTTTAAGCTATGTTCCTTAATTAAGGGGTATGGGGCTCTCTGGGCTCAACTCTTAACCTCAGTCGCAGCTCCGGGGAGCTGGCGTCTGGCCGGAGCTCATGGTGTGATGCCCACGGCCTGGGGCACTTCCCCTTTTTGCATCCAGGCCTATTGCAACTGCCGGGTCTAAGGGTCCAAAGGACCCAATAAAAAAGGTGATAGTAGTTATGTAGCTCAATAACTTGGAGAGTATATTATTATGATTATGAGGTACTTGGACCCTTAGGGTTCAGGCTTCGCTTCACTTCCGGGGTTCGGGGCAGGCCCGACGCAAATCGATGCAGCTAAACGCCTGACTTCGAATGATGCTCCACTGACGACCCAATACAAGATGATAACAACATAAAACACCGCAGAGCACTCAAATTATTCAGATCAGCAACAGTCAGTCGCAAAAAAGAATAGCATTGATAGCTACGGCTGACGCAGCGACACTGACTTCAGCACTACTACTGGCAGTCCCCCAGCAGGCAGTACCCATATGTACCCACTTGTAGCCTCGGGCCATGTTGGACATGAAGCCAGCCAGACTGGACATCCCACGTGCTTGGGCCTGTGCAGCGCCGCATTGCAGGATGCGGGCTTCGTTTCAGGGTTGAGAGTTTTGTGATTTTGGGGCGTCTGGCTCCGGGTGAGTTGCAAACTAAGGGCTTAGGGCTTGAGGGCCTTCGGCCTGGGCGAAACCAGGCATCTGGGCAGAAAGATGCAGAAGCTTCTGCTTTCCCTGCCACAGGTCAACGATCAAGGCCTTTAGGCCTCTTTATCGTTTTAAGGGACAGGAGCCAGCCGCAAGCAAAAGGCACCGAGCCAAAACGGACAGCATCGAGACGCATCTCCTCCGTATCCGTTGAAGCTCTGAACCCCAACCCCTTCAACTCCCGACCCTAGAATGCTAAAAGCACCTCTGGATTCTCGGCTTCTGCGAAGGCATCCAGGATCCGTTCATAAGCCTCCTTCATGGAAACCTTAGAAGCACTTTACATCTCTGTTTCTGCCACGTCCCCCGGCTTCAGGGTTTCGACTCTCATGCTCCAGGCAAGGTTTCACGACGACTGGCCTGTCAACACCGCACCGACACTAGTGCTCAGGACTTGCCGCCATGACACTAGTCACAGGTCCATGACACTAGTCACAGGTCGGGCGTGCCTGATTCCACAAATGAAGGCTTCACGAGAGCACTTGTAGATCAACTGACCAAAGTACTTATTGCACTTAAGGCGACAAAACTGATCTGCTGTGTTATAGGGTTCAGGGTTCTGGATTGACACTCCAAGCAGAACGGTTTTCGGCTCGGAGCATGTGTGAGTACTTGGTGCCGCAGTTGCACCAAGGGAAGTGTTCATCGTGATGCAGTGCCTGCTCTTACAATGTAAGAAGACAGGAAGTGTAGCCGAGAGCTCCACGAACTTGAAGGCCGTTTCGGCCAAGGAGTCCTTCAGCCATGCAGGGCTCTCTAGACGACAGCCAAAAGCACCAAAAACACTGCCATCTTCTTTGACTCCCAAATTCTACTGTGCAGATCCAAGACTAGCATGGACAGCGCCGCTCTTAGAACGACGAAAGAGCACTCTGACGCTAAGGTCGCAAAGCATCGACTTGTCCCCTGTTGCCTGGATTCGTATTACAACAATGTACAATACATATTTGCACTCCGCTATCCCAGACATGTAAAACGGAAGAGCTGCGTATTCTGCATTCCTACTCAACGCTGTGAAAACATCTGCTGCGACAGCCGAGAGTCTTCGGGACAAACGTCTGGATGATATCGTCGCGCTAGCCGCCCTGAGAGGAGATGTCTAGAGAACTGAACCGTTCTCAACTAGTCTTCCGAGGTGATGTGCAAATGAGGGTTCTTGCCAAGGGCATCCAAGAACCACAATCAAGAGGCAAACTGCATATTTGCATTACCGTAAAAGGAAAAGCATCCGGTGCCGACTGCTGCTGACGCTCGATTCATACACGTGTGCTAATCATTAGCGTGGCATTTGGGGGTAGTCTAATGAATGAGGGTTCCTGAGGAGCAAGGGTAGTACTTACTAGGCTTTCAAACCTGTTCAAAGGCCAGTCACCTTCGTATTGACTTCGTCCACCTTGCGGAGCACTGACAGCGTATCTTGTTGGTCTATCAACGATAGTGTGTTTGATGTTGTTACGCCAAATTATACTATTATATGCTACCAGATACTACATGTGTTTGTACAACCTGCCATGCTTTTGCTTTGATCGTTTGTGTGTCTGCAACGTTATTGTTCTGCTGCTCTCCCTCCCGTCCCATTTACGGCACAGCATGGGGTTTAGCAAAGCACGCTAAAGTCTGAACACTGAACTTTGCAAAGCCGTAAATCGAGAGTCTGACTAGGTAGGAAAAACCTTTGCAAGCTTGCTTTGGGACTTACGGTTTGATGGATTCTGAGCCCCGGCTCTCGAGCTTATAAGTGAAGAGACATGGTGGCGATGTTGGTAAGATTATGGATATTATTAGTTAGTGCTTTCTTTAATTAGTTACTACCATGATAATTATTGTTCTTATTGTTTTTGGTCTTTTTTGTATTCTTGATAGTAACCCATTTCTGGCAGCCTTGCCGGGGCTCCCTGCGAAAGGCACGTCGCACGTCCTTCAGGCTTGCGCCAGCCTCGGAGAAACTATCTCAAATCAAGTCTGTGGGGTTTCGATGCTGGGGCTGTAAGACATCTAGGGCCCAGGGCCTTAACTCCAAGCTTTAGCGCTCCAGGGTTTGGCATTGTTTGGCCGCTTGCCTCAACTTGGGTTGCAGCTGAATAACGCCTGATGGGTAAACCTTACACTGAAACTCTGACACGAAATCCTAATGCCTAAAACAGCCTACACTTCGAGATAAGCCCGAACCCGACACCCCAAATCCCCCACGCCTGGAACCCTACATCCCATACCCTACCCCCAAGTACGAAACCTCCGACCGTTTTGGGATCATCCCCGGGCCTCCGATATCCTCCGATCTCTGGGCCCCAAAACTCTGCTTCTCACCCGCTAGGGCGCTGGCGGGAAGGCCCAGCTCTGCAAAGGATTCCTCCAAGCCTGGCGTCTCCATGCAGAGGATCTCGGGATCTCTCTAAGACTGTGGCTTGGCCTTCAGGGTTTATGGCTTAGGGTGTAGGGCTGAGACTTTCCCTTTCCAACTCAACAGAAAATCGATTTCCCGAGCTGGCGGCCATGCGTCGCGAGTGGGAGCGGTGAGACGAGTGAAACGGAATAAAGCGATATGTGACATGGGGGCCTGAAAAGTTTCGAAGAAGCTGGCTTTCGGGTTATTATATGCGAATAGAGTTACTGTTTAGGTATTCAGGCCGCAACAGTAAATCTTGAAGCTGCCAAAAGCTGTCCTCTCAAGCCTCGGCGTCTGTCGCCTCGGGCCCTTCGCCAAGGCCCCGCTCACGAAAGCCAAACATCAACGGCTTGCCGCCCTTCACCTGGTCACCAATGTATGTTCTTTGCCTCTATGCAAAACGGAATGTGAATGTACATGTACATACACATATACCCCCGTGTATGTTTACATACACAGACGCAGACTCACTCACATCTACCTCCACATCCACATCTAAATCTACATGTACATACACACGTACACGCATACATGCACACATACACACATACATACGTACATACATACATACATACATGCAAACAACATATAACTACATATACACAAAAACATAACCACAAGCATAGACATATAGACATACACACATACACATACGTGCATACTAACTACGTACGTACATACATACATCCATGCATGCATGCATGCACGCACGCACGCACGCATACAGACTTGCACGAACACAAGCACAAAAACACCTACTAATACACCTCTGAACGACTACCCCAATTGCCACCGAGTGACAACTTTCTCATCGTCGGCAGTCTCCTCCTGCCGGGTTAGCACTGGAAATCGGTGGATTTCAGGCTTCGCGGGTGACTTCATTGCACGAAGTCTTCTTTCAGTGTGTGACTGTGGGACACATACGGACCTATGGCAACATGGAAGACGTGACCCATTGAAGCAAGCCAGTATAGGCTCCCCGGCTCAGAACGACCGGAACCGTAATTCGACAATGCCGTTGGCTTGTTCTAGGAAACCTGTGGGGAACGTCAATACACAGCGGTGCAAGCACGTCCTCAGGATTTATCTGTAGGACGGTGCTGTTATGGATTCGGCTATCTCTCCTGAGTCAGTCTTCAAAGCACCGTATGCACTCCGTCACAACTGCCATGAATTAACCCCCTAAAACATTGCACACATCCCGTAGGACCTGAATATTAGGGGGTACTATATGGTGTATTATATATGGGTACTGTTTTGACAATGACGAAAATTCTAGTGATAATACGAACAATTATAAAACGAATGGCTATAGTCGTAAGACGCCCCCGCGTGGTCCTCTAGAGGCTGGAACTCCAGGTGCTTCGGCCCAGGCGCCAAGCGCTCCACCATCTTCTCGGGATGGTGGATGGCCTTGAAATTCTCAAAGTCAAATCATAAGGACTCTTAGGGGGGTAATGGGGAGGGGGGTAGGGGTCTTAATACCAAAAACAAGGACTTAATAATAAGGCCTGTTTAGGGAAGTATAGTCCCCTAACCCCCCTCTCCCTTACCCCCCTAAGGGTCCGTATGATCAAAGGGGGCCAAAAAATACAGGGGCCTTAATAACAGGGTTTTGGGACATATTGTATATGGTACATATAGCTGCAAAGCTATGTAGGGACCACACATGGGAAGTTCTCAGATTGTTATCACTCATTAATGAGAAAAATACATTAGTTGGGCTGCATGCTTCGACCATGGTTATGGCACGACATATCTGCATCATATCTGCCCCAGATGTGGCGGAATCACAAACTGGCCCTCGATTTAGAAGGTGGTCGGGTATCTGGCGCGTCCTGAAGAGATTCTATGAACAAGGCATTTGCAGAGTGCGTCGTTGCCAAATGCAGCAACAATCTTCACGTGACACGGCAGCGCTCACCGCCCGTTACGAGACCAGAGCTTGGTATCTTCATTCGGGCCGTCAGGGAACACAATTACTGTTTATTTAGGCCCGCACAGTTGCTACTTTGAATGCACCACTCTAAGGTCTCGTCTGGCTGCAGGTCGAACGCAGGGTCCTGCATGCAGCCATTCATAACTGAAAGGGGCCAATACCTTCAATTGAGCCATCTCGTGTTGAAATCAAACCTGAAGCCATACTAAGGACCCTGATATCATCCAAATGATATTCCTTTTCCAAGGGTGAACTCAACTCTGGTCAGCATGCTTAGCTTGTTCCGCATTCCTCACACCCCTGGAATACGAAGATAGACGCAGACTTCTGAAGGTGCTGCTTCCTGTTGGAAGCTTATTCTTCACACAGCTAGCGAAGGCAAAAAGCAGGCTCTCAAAGCTAGGAGCACATGCCGCGCTCCAGCAAAGTTACGCCTGTCTCAAGTACGGCAGCGGTGTTCGTGACGAAAAGAAGCACACTTCCCCACAAATCCCAATACCCCTTAATTAAGGAATGTACCATAAATTATAATAGGACCTCTAATATGATCTAAGGTATATGCCTTAATTAAGGGATATTGGGTTCTCTGGGTTCCCGAAGACCCGAACCCTGGTGGAGCAGCGGTCCATCTCTTTCATCGACTCCAGCGCCTCGTCCCATGGGTTACCTGCTAGGTTCCTACACGGCACTCGCTAATTGCCTTCTGTAACCACCATGGGGTGTGCAGAGCTTCACTCTTCACGGAAGTTTGGGAGATTCGTGAGATTCCGGATTAGTTCGTTGGATGTGGTCTTCTGTGCTCACTGTTTCAGAAGCACGCCGCGCTGAGCGTAGCCATCTCCGTTGCTTGATGCTTTTCCCATCTGAAATTTGTAGACCACCGATCGCCAAGCTGTCTCGGAAGCAAGAACTCGGGGTCTTACCAAGCAAGCCCTGCTGCGAGCTGCAACTGCAACCAACTTTGTCGGATGTAATCGGAGTTCTGGACACTACGGCAGCACTTCAACATCGTCGTGGTCGTCATCACCGTCATCATCATCATAACCATCATAAGCAATCCAGTGTGTCGCATGCCAACCGCATTCGTCTCGAGCTTTGAACACTGCGGCAGAACATCGACACCATCATCATCATCACCACCACCACCACCACCACCGTCCTGAGCATCGTCTTTCGCCTCGCCATCAGAACCATCATCATCATCATCATCACCATCGTCGTCATGATCATCAGCATCACCAGCGAGTCATCACCAATGCCGTGGTGGTCAACGTGATCAACATAAGCAATCGTCGCCGTCTTCTGCCGGAGCCATCCGGGCTCGAGTTTCGAACAATAGCAGCGATGCATCGACATCATCTTGCGATCATCATCCACAGCGAATCCTCACAAACACGACGACGGCCAGCATCATCAACATTAGCAGGAAATGCAGGGATGTTGCGCCACCGTCCTCATTATCTTGCCATTATCATCACTGTGACCATGAACATCACTGCCGACATCGTTTGCGGGAGCAGACTTATTCGAGCTTCAGGAAGTAGGGGGACATACACCCATAGATCCAACATAGGACGATCCGTGATGGAAGGGTCCCGAACGACCCCTTCATATTGTGAGCAACATTGAAAACCAACAAATTCTCTCTAAGAGTTAAAACAGCTGATAAACGAAACCCTATTAAGCTTTGGCCTTGGTCGTCCAACGCCTGCTCGATCAGTCGTCGCACTCGGGCTATGAACCACCACCTCAAGAAGGCATCCCAGGGTTCAGTGTTTAGGGGCTGACTCGGGGTAACTACTCCATGAAAGGGCTTCGGAAGCTTAAGGCTTGAATTGAATCCAAGCTCTCATGCTGTTATCTGGAAAGTCGGCTACACCCGTTCTACACCACACAAGCACACAGCCGCTGTTGAGCCTTGTAAGCCTTTCTCAATTCTCTTTTGATTAGGTCCCCTAAACCCTAAACCCTAAAAAAGAGGTGTTCCTTCCGTGTTCCACTGGGCAAGCCTTCCAGGCGGATCCATCGGGTAGATCTCCAGAAGCTGCACAAAGCGAGGCACACTCAAGGCCTCAGGTAGGGCCAGGGCTGTTTTGGCGGCACCATCACTAGGATTAGCTAGGTGTTGGGGTCTGGGGTCGCCAACAACGCAACACTTGCCGCAACACCGCAAACAAAAGACAATAACGTGAAGCGCCTCCATAGCCGGGGCCTCGAAGTCAGAAGCCAAAAAGCGGATCTTGAGAAGGCCTGAACCTATCTAAAGGCCCCAAAGTAATTCCTTTTGCGGTTCGTATATAGAATCCTATAAAGTAAACTGCTATGGGGCCTATGGGTAAACCTTAAGCCTTCTCTCTGGTGCAGCTGCGGAGCCGCTTGCGTGAGCTCTTCGGGGTTAAGCACCTGCAACACGGTTGTTCATAGCCCTGATAGGGTTTTACCGAAATTGGAGACAAAAAGCGCTAGTTCCACCAGCGAGGCTTCAAGCTCTTGTGGATCACGCTCTTTGAGCCGGACTGATCGCTCTGGCGTCTACTAGGTCCAAGCTCGTATACCTAAAGCTCCAAATTCCCAAGTTCCTAACTCAACTGGCTCTTCACGCGACTCGCTGCAAAGATAAGCAGCAGCGCGGGCCTGCAAGGCTTTGACGAAATCCTCGGTGCTGGCAGGAACCGCAAATTTCAACCGTACGGTCAACAAGACGTATGGCCATGGTCTTCATTCTTCGCAATAAAGTAGTACAAGTAGGAGCAATAGATCATCATCACACTAGCAACAGTACCTTTAATTTAGGACCTTAAGATGATCGAGCTCCCCTGGGGCACCAACGAATCTCATGATCAGTACTCGGCAACAGCATGAGAAGACGGGCAGTTTGGAAACATGATGGCTCGGTTAGCCGTCCCCATACGGAAGGCTACCGTCCCTATACAGGTGAATAGTAGACACATGTTTATGCAAATCGCCAGTTCTTCCGCAGTCGCTGACTTGAAGTCGCTCTACATTTTGCTAGAGGCAGGGTTGCGAATATGAGCAGGACTGGGAGTGTCGGACTGATGAAACTCCAGCTCTACGACTGTGCGTGGAACCCGAAATGGCTAACGCCGTGGACATGATTTGTCCGACGCGACTGCTTTTGGGAGAACGACTTGGATCTTCATCATCCAACACATTTTCCTGCACGTGCGAAGAATCTTGGGTAGACTTGGGAGTTCTCATTACCACAAATTTCATGCAGGGCCTCATATTATTTATATTGTATGTCATATCCAACTGTTGCAGAGTGGGGGGCAGTACCCAATCCCTAAAGCCTAAACCCTCTAAACCGAGTACCCTAAACC